CCTGGTAAAAGACCTGACCAGCATGAACTGAGGGTAACTACAGGCAGCTGAGAAGAGCCTAGCTCAGGCAGCTCCCTGATAAAGGTACCCTGGGAGATTACTACATGTGCTGCCATTTTTGCCTTTTCTGTCTTTTGTGTGTATTTCACAGCCTAGACTGATAAAAATATATATAAAAAATAAACTTCAATGTTATCACTTCTGATAACATTTCTGCCCTCCCCCATCTCCCAGGAGAATATGTTTTGTTTTTGTTGCCACAGTGAGGTTGGAGAAAGAACTATCAAATGTTTCTGCTTTTCACTATTTGAATTGCAGGATTAACTGCAGCATCTCATCTCAGCCATCCCATACTGTTATGGACACAGCTAAACGGAGAGTTTCAAAGGAAAAAGTATAAATCTTACTTTTGTTTTGAAAATATACCTCCCATTTTAATGGGAGTGAAATAAATTCAAGCAACTTATTATAAATGAATGCACATGAATAATGTCCTTTAAATAAAGAATTTTAGATGTCTTATGATTGTTGTTGTACAAGAAATATGAACTGTGAAAATCACAAAGAAATGTTAGCTACTGACAAGTTATGTTTGAATTTGCTGAGTTTGCTTATTCATCGGACTAAAAATGTCATTCTGTGCAATCTATATTTATTTTATTTTGCATTTCTTATTTATCTTGTTAATGATTATGTTCTCTTGAAGGCAGGCTTTCAGAAGCACAAGCCGTGGAGGATACCTTATGATCCAGTGTTCCAATGCAAGTGAAGCCTAATCCTGAATTAAGTACATTTTATTTATTTTATTTTATTTTATTTTACAGATGTTGCAATAAGAATTGTATTTATTAATTGACTGATTTTTAATGCTACCCACTGTCATGGCACTGAAACCACTTTTAATCCACAAAATAATCAAAAACATCAAGCTTCTGTCTTTGATACTAGGGAAACCTAGTAAACTTATTTATCCTACTGTTGAGAATGTGTTAGTTCTTACTGAAGCATCTTAATGAAAATTCAGACTTTGACCTGTACCCAGAAATTTGTGAAAGAGTCAGCTATAAGTGTTTTCAGCTCTCCTGTCAGAAGGCTGCTTCCCTCTTATGGGTGCTGATTTCTTAAGTGACCAACTCCTGCACCACATAGATTTGGCTCCATGTGCAGCGTAGGTGCCCTGTGCTGAAAAGCTGCCTCCCTGCCCAGCTGCAATGGGACTCAAACCGTCCCTTCATGATCATTTCGTTGGGCCTCCTTTTGCAGTCTGTTTCTGCTAGACTAACTTCTCTTCAAAAATGGGCGCTGGAAAGTGCCCTTCTGTCTTTGACTTTCACTGTCAAGAAAGGTCAGGTACTGTGATATTTTTATCTCAGCTGTTCTCGTCACAGAACTCCAGGAATTCATATGAATGTTCTGTTTGTTTGTTCCAGTTAAGGCTAATGAAAAAACTAACGATTAAGGAGAAAGCAAAAAATGTTGTTTTAAAACAGAAATGTGATAATTATTGTGTCACAAAGAAGTGAACATAGTTTAGGTGGCAATGCATTTGTTGAGTTCTGTATCCCAGATCTGTACCACCTTTTCTGGTTAACATGAAAGCTTTTCAAGGTCAGCAGTGCCATATGGGTAATGATGAGCCTGAGGTAGGCTTATGTTAAATGTGTCCTCAGTGGTCAGGTTAATCTTTTCATTTGTGATTCTTCTCATAAATGAATATATGGAAAGACATTGCCTGTGTTACAGAAGTAATCTTTGCATCTTTTAAAAAAAAAATCATGGTAATCTATTTTTCTAATAAAAGACTAACACATGCATTAAGAAAAACAAACCAAAACTCCCAACAAACTCAAACACAAACAAAAAACCCACATAAAATTCATTGCAATAATCTTTATTTTGCAAAATGTAAAATCTGGGTACAGTGCTTCCAGGTCATGTAGATTTAGAAATTGTAGAAGGATGAATAAAAATATGGTAGTTTATCTGCACTTCTAAATTCAATCCAAAATTAGACATTCTATCTGACCTTAATAGGTAGAAAAAATAAGATACGGTGAATCAGACGGATTACTAGTGTCTTGAAAGTGGAGATCGCTTTAGATACTATTGGAGTGATCCCTGTATTTTTTATTTGAACTTGTGAGCTCAGCCTGATACTTTCACGTGCTGTTTATTTTAGTGAGAAGCTGATTTTCATTTGCATGACTAGCATTTCGTGTTATTTCATAAAGATTTACAGGGATCAGAGTACTATTGCCAAAACAATTTTAGCTGCTATGAAATATATATATTTTTTTCTCTAAAAAAGGCCTTAACAGCAGTCTGACTCGTTCCTTAGGATTTCCATATTATAAGGATGTAGGTGTCACAGATTTTCCTATGCAAGAAATTTAACATAAAAAGGTAAAAGATTATTGTAAAAATATTTTTAATCTGGTTTATTTATGGCAATAATATTTCTGCATTTATTTGGTCTCAGTGTCTGTCTAAATGTCTCACCTAATAACTTTTGAACCCACTGGCTGATGTCAACCAAATTTGACAGAAGGGCAGAAGTACAAAGATAATTGAGTTCTTAGTAGCATTGTAAAAATAGGACCCCAAAAGCATTTTGACTGATGGAAAAACAGTAGAGAGCTCATGTTTTGTGAGAGAGGTTATAAATTCCCATACCAGAGAAAAAGCTCAAATCAGAGCTTAAATCACGATACAAATCCACAGGAAACCAAGCTGCATTTATTTTGGGCTTCATTGTTTCAATTTTGTTTGTAATAACATCGTATGGGATTTAGAGATTTATTTATTTATTTATTTTAATCTTGTGTATTTGTCATTATTTACTTGATTTAGTTTTCACTGTCCAAGCTCATTGATAGGAGATTTTTTTTTTCCTTTTCACTTTTTGTCCACATTTGATCAAGCATCAGTTTATGTGGGGTGCAAATGGTTCTAGTTACTCTTTAATTACTTTTTTTTTTTTTCCAGTTTTGATACAGGAAAATATTCCTCTAACTTTTTTATGTTTTTTTTTTTGTTTGTTTGTTTGTTTGTTTGTTTTTTTTCAATACAAAGATTATATCATATGTGTAAATTTATTTATAAAAAAAACAACACTTCAATCAGTGAGTTTTGGAGGGACCCCCCTCACAGATTCTGACTCTGCACTAGAGCTGGAGAAATCATTCTGATCTATCCTTTGTCTATAATAGACATCTTGCTTTCTCTGAACATAGGAAGGGATTTTATATCGATGCCGTTTAAACACATCAGTAGAGAGAACTTCCCAGACTTGAAGAGTTATTTGAACATGCCAAACAAAGCTTTCACTTTTAAGTCAAATTCTTCCCCTACCAAAGGCAGTTTTCCTGTCCTCTGCCCTTCAGAGGCAGAGCCTACTCTGCCTTCTTGGCCTCAGTCTTTACTGATAACACTGGCCTTGGGGGTCCAATACTGATAAACATCTTTAATGTCCTGAACAATGGGACGGATTGTGTCCTCAGCAGCTTTACAGATGAAGCAAGACTGGGAGGAGTGCTGGATACACCAGGTGGTTGTGCTGTTATTCAGAGAGACCTTGAGAGAAATGGGTGACAGAAATCTCAAGATGTTCAACAAATGGAAATGCAAAGTGCTGCACCTGGGGAAGAGTAATCCTATGTGGCAGTACGTGCTGAGGTCCAACCAGTGGGACAGCAGCTCTGCAGTGAATGACTTAGGAGCCCTGGTGAACAAAAGCATTGCCAGCAGGCTGAGGGAAGTGTTCCTCCTCTCCAATTCCCAACTGGTGAAACATGTCTGGTTGTGTCCCATTCTGTGCTCCACAGGACAAGAGGCATATGGACTTACTGGATTGAGTCTAGAGAAGTGCCGTCAAAAGACTGGAGTGTCTGTCATGAGGAGAGGCTGAAACAGCTGACATTGTGTACCCTGGAGAAGAGAAGGCTCCAGGGGTGTCTTATCGGTGTTTATAAATACTGAAGGGAGGATGTAAAAAAGATGGAGCCAGGCTCTTTTCAGTAATGACCGGTGACAGCAGGACAAGAGGCAAAAGGCACAAACTGAAAAAACAGGAAATCCCTTTTAAACATAGGTAAAAAACTTTATTGTCAGGATGATGAAACAGAGGAACAGATTTCCCAGAGAGGTTGTGAAGTCCCCATCCTTGGAGATGTTCAAAACCTAACTGAACATGGCTCTGAGCAACCTGCTTTACCTGACCCTGCTCTGAGAACAGGGTTGAACTGGGTAATCTCTAGGGGTGCCTTCCCACCTCAGCCAGTCTGAAAGTCTGTGACTGCAGAGCTCACCACCAGAATTCTGAGTCACGAGACCTGAAGATGGTTGTGCTTTCAACTTTGTTTGCTGAGATGCTTTGCTTTCATTTGATTGTCCAGAGAATAAGACATGCAAAGTACACTAACGGGCAAGTGCTTACTTCTGACTCACACAACCTTGAGCTAATAAAAGTCAGGATAACAAAAACAGTCCTACATAAGTAGGTCACAAGCTGATAGTTAAATTATGCAAGATGTTTACCGGAGAAAAATTCCTTATAGGTATGTCCTGAATCTCTTCTTACTGTTGTGAAAGATAAGTTTGTTTTCTACTTATGCCTATAGACAGACACACAAGTCTCTTCTAAGCCTACCATATTGGAATTAAGAGTTTCTTCAAGCCATTACAGACTTAAAAGTTTTTTTTTTTTTTCTTTTTCTTCTTTAAAGTGTTTCTTAGAGACCTCTTTGAGAGATTTGTCTTTCTAATCTTTAGCCCCTTGAATGTGGTTATCTTCTCAGCAGCAATTTGTAACTCCCAGCATTCCTTTTCTACTCCAAATATGAATGCAAGACCCTACATTATTTATTCTTTCTAAAGTGATGAGGGAGTGTAGTAAACAGCTGAATTACAACCTGCAGTTGCCAAGGGGCAGGGACAAGTTAAAGAGCAATTTAATTGTAGATGTTTTCCTCTTTTCTCCTTTAACTCTTTCCTCAGGGATGGATAAACACAACAAGAAGCAGCTGAACAGTAAAAGTGTAATTCTGGAGACAGAAACAAGTAGAGATAGAGAAGGTCAGAAGGAACTTTGCAGCTAAGAGGAGGAAAGACGGCTGCAATGTAAGACCATCTTTAGAAAAGCAGGTATTTGAAATTGTCACATTGAGTTACCCTCAGCTGGCAGATGTGACAGAAACTACTCTTGAAACATGAAATTTCGTATCAACTAGTAATTTTAGCCTAGGAATAGAATTAAAAAAGTTTATCTTTAAAGAGGATTTAGAACTGTTGCACCCTTGTTAGTGCATGAGCAGAAGCATCAGACTCCAACAGTGACCTCTTCCAGCGCAAGGAAATTATGTTTGTGAAGTCTGGAATACAAGGCACTGGTATCTCTGAGCTTGTTCCCTCTACAGAAAAGAAATAACGTTATAGCCCTAAATGTTGCTAGACTGAACAACTAAATGAAACTAGTTTATACCTGGAAGGTCAGTGGGGTGTGCATATACAAGAATAGCAGAAGATTAGGAGAAGCTTTCTCTAAGTGGTTGAAATATATTTATGGAGCCATATGTAGACATGCTGCTCGAGTGACTTTAGCTTTCTTCTCCTTTTCTCCTGCAGAAAATCCTCAGAAAACCTGGATGTTTACAGCCTTGACTTCAATTTGAACAAAAACTGGAAAGGTGAGTATGGTCATCTATAACCAACCCTGCAGTGCTCAAGGATGTGAGTTGTGGCCTTTGCAAGTTGAACAAATTGAGTACAGCATGATTTTTCTCCACATTTTTCCTGTCTTTAATTGGCTTTCCCCATCCCCCCTTTGGCTGTCATGTAGTTCCACTTGCAGTTGCCTCCATGTAGCTAGCATTAAGACCTTTGGAGAACTTATGGATGGACTCTATTAAATCAGGGCCATGTGAGAATTAGAAATTAAAAACACTGTTATTAACTGATTTAAATAATAACCTCATAGAGTGTTCCTCTGCCATTTATTTAAGACAGTCTCCACTGTCAAAGAATTGTGTACCTTCCAATCCTATTACTATGGAAACATGTTATGTTACTTTAACAGACGGTTTAGGAAGAAGAAAGATTTTTATTTTGAATCCAAATATCCATACTCCAGTATGCTCAAACACAAAAATTACTTTAGTTTCTTTGTACTTCTATGATTTCTTTAAATTTTGTCTTCTATGCCTGGAATATTTGATTGTTTTTGTATGCTGGGTCCTCACCCCTCTGACAGGATACTTCTTGAGAGTCAGTCAGGGACAAACAGGGAATTAATAACAATTAAAAAGCACATCTGGTGTGTAAATTTTTCTTCTGAGTCCTTCTGTATAGTTTGAGTTGACCTCCTGCAAGCTGGTCAATCGAACATCTTTTTTACAGAGTGCGCAGGGACCCTACACGAGCACGTTGTCTCTTATGTGAGTCAGATTGCAGATGGGATGTGCTCCAGCAACAAGTGTTGTTGCTGCTGCACAACTCAGTTTAACTCATCTCCACATTTTGAATTTCCAAAAATTCTGTCTTTAACTGATTTAACGTTTAATGATCGAGTGGACTGGTTTATTTAAGGACAGTATGTATTTTAAAATAGGCACAATCTGAATCCTTTACAATAGTAAATATAGATTCTCTTCATAATAGAAACACATTTTTTCTGTTCTATGCTATGCATGCATAACTTTTGTACTGGGATATAAATAAATGTACTACGAAGGAAAAGATATTTCTGTTGATGGCCAATGCTTGTATATGCCAATGCTTGGAAAATAATATTATTGCCTTAATTTTTTTCCCCAAATGGCATTATACTTCACCTCACTTCCCCTTGTATTTGATTTATTTATCTTCAACAGAAATTCTCTCTATCCTGAGGGATTATGGTAGTCTAACTTGACTTTCTTTTCATTTCTTTGAATGTCAGTGTTTCATCTCTGTATAAGGAGGAATAAAGCTTTCGAAGACTTTTGCTAGATTAACTGCATTTTAAATACTCAAGATAACTTTTGCGAATAAATTACTTTAAAAATAAAAAATAAAAATGAAGTGCAAACCTACACTTTTTTTTCCCTATGTTATTTTCCAAAAACAGATCCATAAAACTGGTATGATATTTAATGTGTAGATTGTCACTGTCAGCTTCTAGAATTGTATAAACAAAAGTCTCAGATGCAAGATAAACATCAGCTTCAGACAGAGGTTGGAACATAACACACAGAACTACGGGGCATGGTACTGTGGCACCGACAGATCTTGTAAGTGTAAGAAAATATATTTAGGAAACAATAAATAATTCCTTTTAGGTAGAATTTTCAACTTATGGCTCATTTTGAAAAAGCACTATTATTTTGCTGATAAGTAAATTTGAGCTAATGAATAAAACAAGACCAATTCCGTAAAAACACAGTTGATAATTTAAAAATGTTAGACTGAAAAATTTTGGATAAAAACTTCATAAATACTTAAAATATTTTATTTTGTATAGCTGTTGTCTGTTATTCTGAATATTACAGGTTAAAAGTTAATTCTTATAATAATACAAATAAATTATCCAGTGCATTTTGCTAGGTGTATTCTTTTGAACTAGCTTTAATGAGCGGTCTTTTTAAAACAGTCATTTGGTAAAACAGAACAATTATTCAAACATAGCTGAAAGATAATATCCATTTAAAATAGATGGTCATTACTATTATCTCTTTTTTGTAAATGGGGAAACTGAGGCACAGAGGAAGTTGAGAATGTGAATTCTTAGACCTGTTGACTAGTTGTAGATTCAGATGAACACTGTAGGAAATCATGTTTGCTGCCGTGGGGGGGGAAAGAAGCCTGAATGACTGATTTATGTGGGAATTTGTAGCAGGGGCTGGTGTAAAAAGGAATACGCTGAGATTTAGTCTTTCTTATCTCCAACTCACTTTCTGGATATAAATGTTACTAGTAAGGACTATGGAAGTGGGAAGAGGAGGCATGGATATTCTTCAGTTTGGTACTGTATGCTTTTGGGGAGAAGGTTCCTCATCTTTTACTTGGAATTAATCTTCCCTGAAAGCCAAGCTTAAGACAGAAATTGCTTTGAGGAGGTGAGTTGGTTGGTCATAACATACTGTTTTATGGAACAATTCATGAAGAAGTACAGGTATTTAAACTGGAATTATGTTCATACAGGCCTCCTTTTAAATTTGCAATATGATAGAGTATGGCTTAAAGTCCTGCTAGAGCAATAGAACTGTTGCTATTTGAAGGAAAGTGGCATTGGCTTATAATGTGTGTATGGTATGAATTGGGTTGTTTGGGTTGATGAGAAAGCAACAAGATAAAACCACAGCTGGCTTTTAAATTTTGATGCAAATTTTGGGGCTGGAAAAGGCTCTAATCCCACTCCATCTTTTTGTGGGGATCCCTAAAATTAGTGGGGTTAGATGGATGCTAACTAACGTGTAAGTTTGTGCTCTACTATAACAAATTTAATAGAGAATTTCCAAGCGATATTGAATATTCAGTTGTGCATGTTTTACGTTTCTTTTCTCATCTGACCATCTGAGGCTGTTGAAATTTGCTGAACTTCAACTTCCTGAAGTAAACACAAATTTCTCAGATCATTCAATATCCTGTCTGATTTTGGACAATATTGTTCTGCAATCTTTCACTTCAGTTAGACACACTGAGGAGATATTTGTGAAGATTTGTTAACGTATATAATACCAAAGCTAAGAAGAAGTCCTCTGGCTTTACCTATGAAAAGATTAAAATTAATTGCTCATGAACAGTCTGTTCATAAAAATCCTTGGTGATGCTAAATTTTGGAGCTGAAATTCTGATCAAGGTCACCAAAGTAGATCAGGGGGAAGGCTTTTGCATATGGGATGCATAAACCCATCTTAAACCTGGGGGGGGGGCGGGGGGAGCTATTTACATATCATATACTTAAAGATAAGTATGCGTGTAAGTGTTAAGGACATGGACTAGTAAAGTAAATTTGAAACCTTTCTTTTGATTTATTTCTTATAACAAGCAGAACATTTCTTAAAATGAAGAAAAATATCAGGAAATAATTCTCCTCTCTAAACTTCTGTTTTTCTTGGTAAAACATTGTTATTTGTGGTGTTTATATAATTATATTCCAGTGTAATTCAAGTATGTAATGACATTTCTCCAATGAAAGCATTTAAATAACTCAGGAAATTGCTTTACTGTTCTGTTTCCTGACTTAAAACCCATTTTGTCAGGTTCATTTTATTGTTCAATCTGTCTGAGCTCATCTAGATATATTCTACCCTATACAAAGCAAAATAAAATATTTACTAGCTGATCATCTCATATATGTATATATACAAATATGCATGTTATATTAAGGCTGTTCTTAGATATATTATTTATTACTTTCATCTTTATCCTTTATTCAGTTTTATTTTATATTAAAACCAGAAAACTTAGGGAACAGCAGAGTGGGACTAGAAATAGAAGTGGAGGAATCTCACTGAAAAAGGAGTATTGGATAATAATTCTATATGTTAGAGAACACAAATTAAACAATGAGAAAAAAGCATTTCCATTTTCCTTCTGGTATCAATGAAATGTAAGATATACAGTGTTTTTCCTTTCTTTTGGGTATGTATTGAAGATACATTTTTGCACGTAGAGCTCAAAATGGCTTTTTCGTTTTGTACAGTGAAATGGAATACTTTGGTACAGGGGTGATATTTTCCAGCAAAAGAAGGGCAAAATTTACCAGACTTGCTGTAGAACTGGATCTTCTTTTACCATAAAGACACTTCTGTAAGACGAGTGATAGGTTAATCTGTCTCATTTTTATCCAGACCTTTTTTAATGTAGTGGATAAGATTAAAGTGCAAGCTGAATACCACAGGTGTAGCTTGGGTTTTTAATCTGCTTGACTCGAGTTATTCTAGTTACTGAATGGGGCTACTAATAATACAGTTCCAAAAATAAAATAGAAAACGTAAGTACTGCAATGCTTTTATTCAGCTTTGAATAAATCAGTGGAGCATAAAATATACTGAAACAGATTAAATTTGATTCCTGCAGGAATCAAAGTTTAAGAAGCTATAGTAGAGATGGAGGGAAACTCAACAGACGAGATCAAACACTGTACAGGGGAGCCAGCTTCTGCCAGGGTGCGGCTGTGCCCAGAGAAACCACTGCTAGGGGGGTGGCTGTGGTGGGCTGCCTGGAAATTTGGCTCGCATTAACAGTTTATTGATAGCCATGCTCTTGGTTTTCATGCAAAAATAGAGACCAGTGAGATTATAGTGCTTCTTTCCATGCTAACCTTCACTGGAAAATGTCTTCACACTCCAGGGCAAAAATGAAAGGAAAAGAAGTCAAATAACCTGAAATAATTGCTAGTGAATAAGAGCTTTCTAATTTGGCACTATAAATTAGTAAATTCATAAATACCTTTTTCATAAGGCACCTTAAGTTTTATATATTCCAAGCCAAATTCTTTAGCCCTCAGGTGAGCAAAATTCCTGCTGCTCACACTGAGAGGTCTGCTCAGTTAAAGAGCAAAAAAGCTTCACCCCGTGTTACATCGATAGCTTTGATTTTTCTATAATTTTTTGATTTTCTAAGAGTTGAGGAGTCACAAGGCCCTGTCTGCTTCCCCAAGCTCCCAGAATGACATTGGAAAGGCAGCAGAGCAAACCCTGCCCCATGTGGTGCCTATGGCAGCATTGACCCCACCTGTGGGCTGGAGATCAGCTGCCCACAACAGCAGGGACCAGAGAAAGAGCGGGAAGGAGATCAGAGAGGGAAAATCTAGCTATTACTAATTGCAGGAGGTAATTTAGAGGAGTAATGCATTTTGGAAAAGCCTTTTCCTTCCTGGAAAGGAAAGCTGGAGTGTTTAGTTTGCCCCCCACCTTGGTGTAGCCTGGGAAGCAGTAGGACTACAAGCATGGGCATGGAATGGGGTCTGGGCACCCCAGTTCTAAGGGAAGCAGAGCAAGCCCATGTGTTGCAAAGTGACTGTGGTAGAAGGATAGGTGCAGAAGCCCTGGCCACAGTGGTGCTACCTGCCCTCAAACGCAATTGCACCCTGAGGTGCTGCTTATGGGGGTGTTTAAATGTTTTTCCTATGCATTAAAGTTCAGACAGAAACATAAAGTTATCTGATTTTGTTAGGAAATTCATGTTCCTTGATTTGAATACATACTGTACTTCATTGTTGGCTTTGATTTTGGCAAAATGAAGCCACTGATTGTAACTCTAATTGAGCTGTTTGGACTTCATTTTATATAATAACATTACCCTGGTCAGACTAGACTGAGTAACTTCAGCTTTCAAGATCTAAGTAGTCAATATGTGCTTGCAAGTTTTAGACAACATATACGAATATCTAAATACAGCCTTTTTTGTTAGTTGTCAAGTCCAGAAATTTATTAATTCCTTTTACTATTAAATGTCTCAAGTATAGAACTTCGCAATGAATTTCCGTGATCCGAACAACTATTATAACCTCATGTAGTGTTGATGGACTAAGGCACTGACAGAAACTTGAGAGCTTGTTTAATTTGGTCTAAGAAGATAATGGTAAGTACTTGAGAAACGATCTATGTAAAATGCACGTTTAAATAAAAAGACATGCACAAATGTCTCATGGAGGCCTAGCTTCCCTGGGTGCTTGTTTTGTAGTGAACAGTACTGTTAGAAAGGTGGACATATTAATTGTGGTGTGCTGTGGCTGAACCATCTTGCTTATTTGAAGTTTGGATGATATTTTTTTATTAAATAAAAAAAATATACTGGTACTCTGCTTAGCAGTGTAAAAGTGTAACATATGAAATAGTTTTTAATTTTCCATATCTTAATCCTATTCTTCATATTTAAGAAATGTAAATTCTACTAGTATTATATACTTGGCAGGTATTTATTACAACAATCTTCAGAACTAATTTCCATATAGATGTGTTCTCAAAGACTGCATTACTTGAAGGAGGGAAAAAAAGAGATTAGGGTGAAGAGAAGATCAAGATTAGATCTCATACAGATGAATTTGCATGCAAAAACCTACTGGAGTAGTGTTACCTATTCAAGGCTAACCCCCTACTCCTTAACTGGTACAAAAGATGCTTGTAGATGTTGATTTGTGTGCGTTTGTGAGATCTTTGATGCTGTGAGGAGTTCAAGTTTAAGAAGTGTGAGGCTGTATCTTGCATTTTACACCAATCTAAGCAAACTCAGTGCATGTTAAATGTAAAGGCTGGGAGCCTTCAAAAGCACATGTAGCTCATGACTGCCTAATTGCATGCAAAATGACTGAAAAGATACTGAGAAGTCCTGCATGTTTTATTTCAGACGCTGTCTATTTGAAAAAGATAACGTACAATGGTCCTATGGTCCTCCTCTCCGGCAGAAGAGTTGGGGCCAAAATGAGCTGAGGTGGTTCCCCTGTGCAGTCAGTTACAAAGTATTACATTTTTCTGAATCTATCCATAACTTTCATCCTTGTATTCAGTATGGGTGCTGAATTTCTCCCTTCATCCCATAATGAAACATTTCCTAAAAAACTGAAACCCCATTGTTTTTGTTTTGAAGTGGCAAACATGCATTCAGTACAAGATGTATGAAAAATCTGTAACAGAATTAATACCTTTTGACTTCCTTAATTTTGGATTATAAATGAGCTCGTTTGTGTTTAAATGTGCCTCACTGAGATAAATTATTTCTTTCACTTTTAAAAAAGCAAACACAAAACGCAAACAACATCAGAGAACAAAACACAAATTCCCCTTAAGTATTTCAGTAGGTACTTTTCAAAAACAAAACTATGTTTAAGAAAACATAGATCCTACTAGACTTATTCAAGCCTGAAAAATGGCACAACCTGTTAGAAAAGCCTAAGGTGACTGAGCTTCTCTGCTTAGCACCTGTGGGAAGGGGGTTTAGGATGTCCTGTTGTTGTCTCCTCATTAGTAAAATGCACACTAGTAATGAGGAAGTCAGTCTGCAAGCCTCATCTGTTTATGCTGTTCTCTCTGTCTTATATTCGCTGATTGGATAGGCAATACCTGTGACAGTAGCAGCAGAGGTGATGGAGGCTGCAATGGGAGTGAGGAAGCTGAGCTGAAATCCATTTTGAATCTGCGAACATAGAGTTCACATGAAAGTGTTTGAGTAGAGCTTGAGTCTCTTTCATGGGGCCCCCAAAGGAGAAAGGTGTGATGAAGGAAGGGGAGGCATGTAGAAGGTACACCTGGAGACAATATATTTCACTTATCCATTCTAAGAACATTGTCAGTCTTCAACAAACATAACCTGTAACTCACCTGCAGGAGACTAAATGCATTTGAGACAAACAGGTAAGGCATGTAGCTGCCTGTGAATTATAGTAATGTTCTGCTAATGGCAAGTCCCACCTGTCTGTCATTACATAACTATGTTAAAAAACTTGTTGACTAAATCTACCCAGGAACTCACCTGCTGGCCCAGGAGTTATCATTACAAACTTAAACACTTTGTTCAAAGTCTGTCAATACCTTAGGCAGGTCTACTCTGCCAAGATAAGCCATCTCTACAAACGTTATTCTTCTGACTGCAGGGGCTTATGGACAGCTGGATACTACCTTCAATGTACCTTCCCTTTTGCTACAGATACCTTAGACAGAAAATGTAAAATTTAATTAAGGAAATAAGCACTTCTTAAGTGAGTCCAGGTACAGCAGTTAGAACTCAATTGGAGGTGAATGGTCAGTCCAAATTGGGTTCAACTGAATCTGAATTCTTTCCTGCTTTCCATTCCACCCATTTCCTCTCTCATCCTCCATGCATTCAGTATCTTACTGGACTGTCTGGTGTTCTTTTTCTGGCTGTAAGGGCTAACTAGTGCTGGATTTGGTGGGAATGTACTGATGTCTCTGGGAAAACTTTTTTTCTTTTTCTTTTCAATTTTGGATGTTTACTTTGATCATTGATTGAAGATGACATGCTTGAAGAAGACATCTTAAAGTCTTCTCACTTCTGCTTCCTTTGGACTTGCTTTAAGCTCTTTTTAAGCTCTTTTTAGCATGTGTTGTGCCATTTTCTCTAGCAAGGTTGAAAATTCTGTATGTATTGTTTTTCAAGCTTCTATGTAGTATCTATGTAGCATTGCTGAGTTAAATAACTAAATCTGTATTTTGAATCGACTGTAAGTTTTTCAGACTTTCTCTTTGCCAGACAGAAAGGGTGTATTCAAAGGGGTGTGCCTGTATTCCCATCTTTCACGAAAGATAGGACATCATTTTGGATAATGAAACATCTGAATGTATGGGCAAGTAGCATTTACTAGTGTGAATTCTGTAGGGTGACTAAATGAGGAAACAACTGTTTTCCACAGAGACAGTGAGAAAATAAGAGTTTAACCTTAGCTGTCCAAGGGAGAAAGCTTGCTTACTAGCATTCCTGCTCCAAATTCTCTGATTCTGTAATTTACTATGCTATTAAAAATAAACAAGAATCCCTTAACACTGTTCTTTCCTATAGCTCTTAGCTACAGATGAACATAATTTCTAATGTAGATGTGTCCCAAATGATTTTATTACTGTATTAAGCAGAAATTCTCAATTCCAATAGAAAAATACATATGTTGGAGGTATGATTTTGACTTTTAAATGATTTGCATACTAGTCTTCTTTGTGGTCTTTCTTAATTCAAATACATTGTTTGCTGAAGAGATGATTTTTCTTCTCTCTCTCTCTCTTTTTTTTTTTTTTTAATTGAAAAAGACACTATTTATATACACAGCTGACAGTACTGAATCAAAGGAAGGACATTTTTCTAGAAGACCTTTTTCATAAATGCTTTGAAAGCTATTCTGTCAACTTTAAATGATTATTAAATATTTAGAATTTTAATTAGGAGACTAAATAACATGATGCTTGGGCATCATAAATAAATAGGTAACAGAACTTTGAGAGATCAACTGAATATTAAAAAAAAAAAATACACCAAAGTTAGATTGGGGGATTCACTTGGCTTGCAGTAGGAAACTGTCAGTGGTGGTGCAAATACTGTTTACTGAAGCAAAGAATAGCTATGTCTTCTCATGGCTGAGATAATGACCATGTTTGTAGAAGTAATGTTATTGGAGGCATAGAAAAACTAAAGGGTTTTCTTGCTAAATGTGAAAGGTATTAGAGACAGTTGACACAATCAAGATCTTCCGGTTGCTCTAGCATTGTTATCTGTGAACTATCTTACATCCCATTTTGGGTGTCATTTGTGAAAGCTATGGTCAGTTTTTTGGTAAAACTTCTTGTCCCTTCTGGCAGTCTAATACGGTCTACAGTAATAAGACTATCATAGCTCTGACATAAAAATCAAAGTTGAAATCTGGCTTTTCAGGAGACTTCAGTAATCCCTCATATAAAATTGTTTAAAAGTGTGTGTGTGAGAGTACACGTGGTTATACAAACAAGGAGCATAAACTGTACAGGCCTTGACAGGTAATGTTTCTCTCATGATAATTTAACAGTACCTTCATTGAAAAGTACTGGATGGGACAATCACAACTTTGTAAACTACAGAAATCACCATGCAAGTAGGTGTATCCTTATGTGAAATACAAAATGTAATTTTAGCGTTGTAACCACTTCTACTGTATGCTTTTTGAAATGCCAAATTGGGCTGACCTGTGGTTTTTACTTGGAGCTTGAGGTCCTTTAGGATCATAAGCACTGTCTGGCATTTATTCTCATGATCTTTGTTTCTAGTGACTGGATTTCACTTTAACTGAGTTAGTTTCAGACCTCAAAATTAGGACATACTAAACCAGTAGCTCTAGGTGATGATATATGTGAGTTAAAATGCTTCTCTTATTCTAAAGGGGAAATGGTGCAGGATTGATATTTAGGATATTGATTCTTTAGCTACCGCTGAAACTTGTGCCTACCCAGTTTCTTTGCTATTTTCAGACTGTTTTGATGTATGGATAGTTAGCAGTTAATTTATCAAAACTGCAATCACTGCCATTTTCCTTTCAATTTACTTGCTCTCATTTTTAGGGGTTTTCACTATTGTATTCTGAACAGCTGAATCCTATTTTCTGAATAATGATCATCTTGCAAGAAAATCTAATATAAAGAGAACAACATCAAACTGACAGGATGATTGAATGGGTAATATATACCCTCTTGTTTTTAATGTGTGGTATCTTTATGATACCATGGCCTGCAGTTGACAACTTTGACCCACGTGTTCCTTTTTAGTTAACCTCCATCAACTGTTTAATATAGCTTCACATGTTTGTCATATGAATTAGTAATTAATGCCATTCTATTCCTCATGTTAATATGTTCATTGAAAATGACATAGAAGGAAGGGCACTTAAATCTACAGAGAATTAATTAGCATGGAATTTTCAGTATATCATCTAGTGTTAATTAGCAGTTAAACCATCTTCTGGTGCATGACCCGCTGATTTAAATACAGCATTCTGTTACAGTGGCCCTGAGGGAAAATGCCTTGAAAGGGTACTCTCTTGAAAATGGAGCTCTCTACATTTGCCTCTTTCTGTCTCATTGTGCCTTAGCATCAGATCTTTCTCAGCCCTTTCTACAACACAAAACTCCATTTATTAAAGTGATAAGCAACAATTGTGATACCAGAAAAGATAACAGATTTAAGCATTTCAAAGCAACGTGCAGTCTGGTGGTGACACAACCCTGTTGCTAGAGGAGGGCCATATCCCCCCTGATGGATCTCTGTAGCTGTAGTGACTTCAGTGAAGCTTTAGTACCATTTTTTTTTTTTTTTTTTTTTTTTTTTTTTTTTTAAACACATAAAATTCTACCTCGAGGAACTGTAATATTGGCTGTCTGAGCCATTCAGGAAGTCATCTTCTGGAGTCTTTCTCTAGATATTCGCACTGTTTATGCTTATTTCTTGTGAAAATAACTGAAACAAATAATGCATTATATTTTAACTACCTAGCTTAATAGTTCTCCTCATGTTTTGCTATTCCTGCTTTTTTGAGTGGTAAGTGATCCTTTAAATTTTTGATTTCATCGGTGTAAAAATATCTAAAGCTCTATTTTATTGAGCACTTCCATCATCTTGAATACCTTTATTATACTGCTTTTGAGGTCTTATTTTTCTATGCAATTCAATTCCCTTGACCTCAGAAGAGTATTCATTCCTGGTATCCTCTGCTTTATATTATACAGGCTTTACCCTGGTGTGTCATCAAAACTGTTGCTGTGAAGTGGTGAGTTTTAGTACTATGAAATTGAACTCTTCCATAGTGATAGAAATCAACTGACCCTAGTTCTTCGACTAGTGGGTGATTGATTGGGAGGCAAAACCAAGTGAGAAGTAAGCGTCTTGTGCTACTGGCTCTTTTGTTTCTTGTTTTTCATTTTTGATTATTATTATTATTTTTAGTAATTCCAAAGTAAAGTAATACAATGAAAGATGCTAGTAGACTGAAAATAGACTCTTGAACTCAAAAGATGACTTATCCAGGAAACGATCAACTTACAAGCTACTGAAATGAAAACTCTCTTAATAACCAAAAGAACAATCCACTCAGCTGTCACCACAATTGTGCAGATTCTATTAGTAGAAGACAGTGGATCTACAATACATTACAGACAAATGGTATATATGTATGTTTTAGAGATGGTCTCAGACACTTACAATG